GTCAAGTTTTAGTGCGATGCCATCAGTACCGCGTTGATCAACCCGTTTGTCCAGTCTAATACAGCATAGCCAAGTTTTTTGCGACGATATCAATATCGCTCTCTACAACCCGCTCTTCTAATGAAATTAGCATGGCCAAGTTTTTGTGCGACGGTATCTTTACCGCTCTCATCAACAAGCTTGTACAGTATAATCAGTATGGCCAAGTTTTTTAAAGTTATATTCAGGTAAAATTATTAAAAAAGATTAATGAATCGCGTACGGGACGATCTCTCTGAGTGACATACTTTTTTATATAGGATAGGGTGACAAACGAGCACATAGTCCACCTGATAGTAAGTGGTTGCTGTGACCCATAGACATCTACATTTATCCTTAATAAAGAATCAAAATGCAGATGCGTCGTCACCCGTGAGGACTAATATGGAGTGCCTCTTTTCCAGTAAAATGTGTCTCTGGTTCTCTATACTCACCATACGAAACACAGCAGCGTTAAGCTGCTATTCTACGCTGGTATTCTGCGAGAGCATGGTCCTTCTCCGGTGGAGCCGACCCATTTGTGCTAGAACTATACCACTAATATAGCTGCAGCATGGCTCACTGAATCCCCGAACACAAAAAATGAAAATGGGTAGATAGATAGCTAAAGCATTTATTTGTTTCTCCAATCACACACGTAAATTCAGTTACTAAACCAGGTACAAAGTAACGTATTACAAAAAAGTTACATAATCTTAAGATTTTAATGAATATAATGAAATAGCTTGCAATATTGTAGGCCTCCATTACGCCTACTTAAGAGTTCATCTGAGTAGTTATAACTACTCTGTCACATATTTAAGACGCACACATTTCAGTAGAAGTTCTGGTTGTTACAATATAAAATATAAATCATATTTGTCGCTATCATCATCATCATCACTATCCCATCCCTTCACAAGTCCACTGTTAAACATAGACCTCCTCCAACTTGCGTCCATGGATTTCCTGCATGTCTTACTAGATTGTCACTTCATCTAGTGGGACCCACCTTACACTTTGCTTAGGCTCGAGGCTGCCACTCGAGAACGTTTTCAACAGACTTCAAAAATGGAGTAGGTTCTCAATTCGACTGTATTTTTTAAGTGTGTTACCTCACAACATTTTCCTAGGTTTAGTCCCATATAAATTTGATCAAGATCTGACTAGGTAGTTTTTGAGTCTTTTTAATATCTTTAATAATGCGCATTTAGTTGAATTCAAAACTACATTGAAGTCGGCTGTGTAATTTTTTTAATTATATCACTTATTTTATAGAATAAGGCTGATACACACAGTCGAACTGATGGTAAGTGAATACTGTGAGCCATGGATCTATTACATATATACATCTATCCTCGATTAAGAATCAAAGTGCAGATGCGTTACCCTACCCTTGAGGACTAAGATTAAATGCCTCGTTTCCAATAAAACGGGGTCCAACTACAATATTAATATAGGTACAGCATGGATCTACCACGTACTAATCCTTAGTGATAGAGTTTAGTAGAGCAGAGGTTATGAAAATAGCAAAATTATGTGTGTAGCCCCGACTTAATACAATGCATTAAACTGTGGAACGTTTGCTTTGACACACGTATTAGATCGTCATGCCTTTCATAACAACACGAAGCAATTATCCGTACATAAATTATATATTTTATACGACAGATTCCAATCGCAAGACGTACATTCTTCCATGTCGTATATAATTTACGAACAAACCACATTCTAGTAAAAAATTACTGTACACCACTTTGTAACGAAACTGGCATTGAGAACAAACAATAACAGAATATAATGTTTTTATTCCATATTGATTATTATATAATATTTATAAAATGTCATTTTTTATTTACCACTGAATAATAAATTATGCATAGCCACGCTGCGGCTCGATTATGACTGCAGCGCGAATAGCTCAGCTGTATCGGGAAAGGATCATGCTCCAATTTCTATAAAATCACCCGTGCAAAGCCGGGCCGGATCGTTTAACAGAAGTTACAGCCTCAGACATGCAAGATTTTTATACGTGGTAGAGCCATGCTGCAGCTATATTAATAGTATAATTGTAGTAGGAATTCGTCGGCTCGACCGGGGAAGGACGCGTATAATCAAATTTAACGCAAACCACCTTTGAGCAGCTACGATTCCAATGCATTAAGTGTTATTTATATAGGAAATATCAAAATCACACAGATACACACACAGCACCTACTTTGCATCAGGACTGTGTGCTCCTTTGTCACACTTATTTTACAAACAAAAATATTTAGAGGCTTTCACGAGTCCGAAGACGAGCCTATTACACTAAAAAAAAAAACAGGATATTTTTATACTTGTAAGGGAGGACAAATGAGCACTCGGTCTGTTAAGTGGATTCTGTAGACCGGATTTTTTACAAGGATTTTCTTTAACAAACAGATCACGTTTCAAAAGTGAAAACTTTTTAAGAATTAATTATTTAAGTGGTGTCGGCAGTCTGATTTTAAGAAATTTCTCACGATCAATCCAGCCACTTAGCTAAAAAAAACTTCACAATTCATAACATAACCTATACTAACCAAACAATAAACGATAAGGAAACGTTTCAAAGCATTTCAGTGTAATATTGCTGCTGTTTTCAACAACAAAGTCTACTCGGTGATTAGTTTATATAATATGCCTGAATGTGAGGTGATTGTACCTTGATCTCGGACACTGGGATAGAGCCAATGAAATAATATTCACCACGTACCCGGGCACTTGGTCGGAGGCACAAAGTACTGTTTTGAAGGCACAGACTGAGTAAGTTTAAGTCCGTGGGCTCTAATCCATGTTGCATACAATCAAGTTTCAGCGTCTCTTCTAGTATTTAGTACATATTACTTCAATGGCTAAACCTCTCTTTCCTCATCTTCACATATGATACGTGTTTTGTAATGAGTAAATGCATCAGTTTTAATTTTTTGCGACTTTGCAATAACGCTAATAATAACAACGATGTCTTAGTCAAGATTCATGATCTGACGTCTTGTCGGTTTTTCTATGATAATATTGTCTTTCTAATGAATAGATATTGTCGGTAAAATTACTCTTTTTAAAAGTCTAATTAAATAAAGTAATTTTTTTATAATTTATGCATTCGATTGTTGTCACTTGGTGAAACTTCTGCTTCATTTTTGTAATTTGGATTCACAATTGTATTTGTTCCACAATATTTATTTAAGGTAAAGGATATACCAGGATGTAGCCTTATTATCAGGATAATGCCGTGAGGCGTAGCCGGTCGATTTTTATAGTAAGCAAATTAATAATTTATATATATATTTTGTGAAATAATTAATAGAAACAGGTGTTACTTTGCGGAAGTCCATTATATTAAAGTTGGTAAAAAACGTGTTTCGCCTCTACACAGTCAGTGGTGTCGTATTGTCGTCAGTGGTGTGTCTTTCCTAGTGTAGTGGTGTTGGGAGTGGTGGTGCTGGGATTAGTGGTGACGGTGATAGTGCACGCAATTGATGGAGGGCGGAAGGTGCTCTTCAAACTAGGAGACACATCATTTTATTTTATCGAGCGGATGTACGCGTAGTAATTTTTTACCAACTTTAATATTTTGTGAAAGAAATACAAGTGTGTATGCAAATCACAAGAATTAGGTTATTTTTAGTTTGCAGCGATATGCCGTTGTAGCTGAAGGGCTAAACGCTGGCTGTAACTTCACAGCACACAAGCAACTCGAGTTCGATCCGCGCCGGCACCGATTAAATTGTCAGTTGCATATTTCAGTGCTGATTTACCCCGTGCTCTACAGCGAAGGAAAATATCATAGGGAAATATGTATGAAAGATAATTAAAAAAAATTTTGTACAGCCGACTTCAATATAAGTTATTAAGAATAACTCAAATAACTCAAAAACTATTGGTCTGAACTTGATGAAATTCATACGGGACTACGTGTGAAGCACCAGCTTTCAAATAAAAAAGAATTATCGAAATCGGTTCACCCAGTAAAAAGTTATGAGGTAACACACATAAAAAAAACATACAGTCGAATTGAGTACCGGCTCCTTTTTGAAGTCGGTAATTCATTTCGAGGATAACTAAAGTCTGCCAACACACACTGGGGTAACGCGGCAGAATAATTGTTCCATTGCCCTTGGAGAAAGGAGAGAGGAGGAGGCATATATATGCTAGGCCCAGCAGTAATGTTCACAAGATCAAATTTCGGTCACGGTGGCCAGATACAACGGAGACTATAGTACACGGACTGAACAACACTGCACGGGACAGGATTTTAGTGTATGCGCAAGCGGATGTGCACTCTCTATTTCCTCACTCTCATTTTTTTTATAGGATAAGAGTGACAAACGAGCACACAGTCCACCTGATGGTAAGTGATCCCTAAAATACAGACTTGTCTAGTTTGGGGATCAGTCTTCACTTTATTATTGTACTTTTATTTAAATAAAAGATTATTATTATTATTATAAGATCGGTCTAGACTAGGAAAAAAAAATGCAGATGCGTTGTCACCCGTGAGGACTAAGATGGAATGTCTCGTTTCCAGTAAAAAGGGGTCTCATATTTCGATGGGACGGTAATTCGACATGACCGCAGAGAGATCCGGGAGAGGACCAACGGCTGTACGTGCTTTCCGAGACACGGGGGTGTAACATCGCCAACGTTCTGATCCCGGGCTGCTACTGATAATTTTGCTGTCCGAAAAACTTAATAACTAATTTTGGCCTGACCCGGAATTTGAACCCGGAACTTCAAGATCATCAGTCGAATTCACCATTATACCAAAGAGGCCCAGTAGTGGTCGTAGATATAACTTTATTTACTATAACTTTATTTACATCTTCGCCGTTGTTTTTAAGAAGTTACAAAATATTCCAATTGAACATGTTACGGGAAACAAAATAAAAAAAAAGTAATACAAAAAAGAATATCATAAGTTTTGGGTGCTATTCTATGCTTAAATTCAAAGTAATACATACCCTTCAAACCAGAAAGGGACGGCACCAGTACGAAGATTGCAGACACGTTCATGAACACCTCCCAGTTCTGAAATAAATAAAAGTAACAAGTTTTAATATGTAGCGATTTACTTATTTAACGAGACGAAAAAAAGGCAAAAGTCTAAAGCCTTCAAATCTTTCGACAAACCTGTATAGGTTATAGTGTGCACAGCCTATTCCAGTTATATGACGTAAAAAAACAAATATTTATATATTTTGAAAAATATCGCCTATTCTATACATTATATGTAATACGTGAACAGAAAGCTTTGTACCCCTTTCAAAGCACACTGTGCGCACGGAGGAGTGTGAGATTTGGCATAGTTAAAGTTTTTATGGACAAGTAGTTCAGAAAACTAAAAATTATACATAATTTTTATGTTACAGAAACATCAAATAATATAAAGCATTTATTGTTTACGTTCATACTGCTAAAAACAATTGTCAAACACATAATAGTCTGTGGTCAAACATTCGCACAAAGTAGAAATTATCACGTAAGAATTTTAAAATGTTGCCATCAAATTAATTACTATTAAATTGACCAAATGAACTATAAATTTTGTGTGATAATAATTTAAAATTAAAAATTTTGTACAACCGACTTCAATATAAATTATTAAGAATAACTCAAAAACTATTGGTCAGACCTTGATCAATATATATGGGACCACATGTGAAGTACCGGCTTTCAAATAAAAAAAGAATCATCGAAATCAGTTCATCCAGAAAAAAGTTATGAGGTAACACACACAAATAAAAACATACAGTCGTATTGAGGTACCTACTCATGTTTGAAGTCGGTGGAAAAGGAACATTAGAAGTTCCATTTTCAATATATTTTGTATAGTATTTATTAACGTGCACTTAAAAGCGTAGATAATACATGCATATTATACTGAGAGTTGAAAGTGAAATACTTATAGTTTGCTTAATTACACAAACTTAACAATTTAATGCATTGCGATCGAATTTCGATTACTGGACGACCACTAGTATAATGTAATAACACTATTAAAATAATTGGTTAGTTTACACCGTCATTGATAAATTATTAAATCATAAGTTTTGAATATAATAGAGCCATTCTGCAGTCGTATTAAGTTTACATGCGCGTTTGTCACAAAAAAAAATAGTAATATAGGTTTCCGTTTAAAGTTAAAGATTTTTATTTTATTGAAATTTATACAAATAAATAAAATTTATTATTAAAATAAGTATCTGTTTGTAATGTGAAAATTACAGCTTTTTACTAAATGCATATGAATATTATACGGTATTTATAAGAAAAACACAATTTTAAAAATTTTTTTTGCCTGTCTGTCTGTCGGTCTGTTTGTTATCCTGAATGTCTGGACCAAATTTTTCAAAAAAAATTTCCGAAATGGCTGGACCGATTTTGACGGGACTTTCACCGGCAGTTAGATTATAAGGAGTAACTTAAGTTACTTTTATTTTAGGAGAAGAATTGGGTTTCCGCTCAAAAAACAAATCCACGCAGGCGAAGTCGCGGAGAACAGCTAGTATGCAAATAAGATGTTTATATATACAGTAAAAGCTCTTTATTCGCGGGGTATATGTTCCTTAAATATGCCGCGAATACAGAAACCGTGAATATGGCTCAACAGTGGTAGAGCCACGCGGCAGCTTTAGCTGTCGCACGGATGGGCCGGCTCGAACCGGGGTGGTACCACGACCTCACAGAAAACCAGCGTGAAGTAGAGGTTTACCTCTGTGTTTCGCTTCGTGAGTGCAGGTGGCCGGAGGCCCTTTTTACTGGAAATGAGGCATTCCATCTTAGTCCTCACGAGTGACAACGCATCTACATTTTGATTTGTAACAGAGGATAGATGTAGATGTCTATGGGCCGCAGCAACCACTTACCATCAGGTGGACTGTGTGCTCGTTTGTCACCCTTATCCTATATAAAAAAATATGGAGTGGTAATTTATATGGAATTATAGGGGATATGTTTCTAAGTGATAAAATAAAATAAAACAAATATATAAAAAAATCAATTTACTTGAAGTTTTTGACCATATTGATTAATTATTATCTTCAGTCTTAGGCAATGGTTGAAAGAATTTTATAATTTTTTCTAGCTTGGCAGTTTTTAAAAGGTCCTTCAGTTCAGATATTCAGCAGTGGCATTAGCAATTTGCCTCTTAAAAATAAGACTTCGTTCCATAGACAGATCAAGTTTTATAAAGAAATCACAAAGCACATTTGCCATCCTTAAACCTTCACTAAGATGTTTCAAATTAAATGTCACGTTTCCAGTGCTCGTTGAAGCCTCTTCTTCAATGGGCTGTGAATTTTACATTTCCTCCAAGTTGTTTTCAGTCAAATCTTCATCTTGCTATTCAAGCAACTCCCGAATGTCACTTGATTCTAATTGTTCGAACCCATATCGTCCTTACCATTCGTAATTTCGGCTGTGTTTGCAGTCAAAGTTTGAATTTGCACAGATTTATCGTAATTTTCGCAGTCAGAGCAGGCCACAGTTTTTTCCAGCATGATTTCAATGTGTATGGCTTCAGTTCTTCCAATGATTCTTTTATGTTTACGATGCATTTTGCTATGTCAAATTTCTTCCAGCATTCCATAACATTCATATCAGGATCACATTCCATATTATCCAATATGATTTTGAAGGTTAGTCTAATGTAATAGAGCTTAAAAGTCTGGATTATTCCTTGGTCCATAGGTTGAAGCAACGCCGTCGTATTGGGAGGTAAAAATGTCCGAACCTGTATTGGTTCGGCCTTTGACATAAGCCGCCATATCGTTTAACAACACTCTTTAGACATAGTTGTAATAAGGTCTACATAATTTACTTTTTTATTAGTTCATTTGACGACGCGTTTACAAAATATATTGGGTTGGATACCTATTGGAATGGTTTTTATTAATATGTATGTACCCATTAGATCCGCGAATATAGGAATTGGGTCGTATTTTTTTAATCCGCGAATAGTGAAAATGCGAATAAAGGAAGCGCGAATAAGGAGCTTTTACTGTAATTTCACGTAGCAAACATGAAACTATGACGTCATTTACTGAATGTTTCGATACAAATATTATCGAAAAAAAAAATGTTTTGACCAAGATTTGCTAACCAGAAAAAGTATTTTAAATGATTTGATATTTGCTATTATCTATTTGACTAATGGCCTATGCTAATCGAGTATAAAATTAAATTATACTGAGAAAAATAATACTTTTTTTTTTAAATGTACGCCGAAATACAAATGACTGTGGAGTTTTAGTAGGTAGTGTCTAAAAACATAGTTTGATGTTTTATTAATTTTTTAATTATGCAAATGTTTATTTAACTCCGTGAAACTATGATGTCATTTGCTAATGTTTCGATATAAATACTATAGAAAAAATTGTTTTGGTCAGATTTTGTTTCCTAGAAAAAAGTAATTTAATTGACCATTCTGAAGACTATCCTATTGCAATAAATCCTTTGATAAGTTCGGGTTCGGGTTATCTTAATTAAATTCTGAATGACATCATTATGTAAATACGCATCTTGAATATAATTACGTATGTTATAATTTTTAATTTTTTCAACTTTATCAGTAATACATAGATGATCATTCGTACAATATAGAAATACAGAAAAGTTAATTAAAACACGTTTGAAAACAATATTATGAAGTTCTCGTTATTTATTCATCTTCATATTTATTATATTTCTTTATTTAAAAAAGCATTCATCCTACAAGGATATGTCCGGCCTTATCGTACCATAGCTTACATATATATAAATAGTTATGATTGTATGTAGGTATAACAGGAAGTTATAAATATAATCATGTGTGTTTAGAAAGGGGAAATAAATGTGATAGGCATATAGAAATTAATGACTTTGCCACCTCCGAGTGTGCCTCCGCAAATATACTACGCGTAAATCTATTCATCATCTTAACGTGTTGATGAGAAATGTTTATCAACGTAGTGAAAAGATTACTTTATTAGCGGTAGAGAATCTTGCACATCGCCAAGGAAGGCCAGTGCAAATAGGCAATATTTTACTCAATGCTTACTTACTAATTTATTTATTTATTCTTTATTGTTACAACAAAGTTAACAATGGGTTTACTTAATGCCTGCCGGAATTATCTGCCAGTCAACCCGTAGCGTGGTGAGCTATTGTGGCAGATGTAAACTTGTTTTATGACCTTTAATAAACTTACTAATGTAAGTATATGACAAATAAATTATTCGTTTTATGCTTCTTAAAAATAAGTTTTTTTTATAGGATAAGTGTGACAAATGAGCACACAGTCCACCTGATGGTTAGTGGTTGCTGCGGCCCATAGACATCCACATCTTTTCTGGATTACAAATCAAAATGCGGATGCGTTGTTACCCGTGAGGACTAAGATCGTTTCCAGTAAAAAGGGTCTCCGGTTCTCTACACTCACCATACGAAACACAGCAGCGTTAAGCTGATATTTTACGTTGGTAATCTGTGAGAGCGTGGTCCTTCCCCGGTCGAGCCGACCCTTTCGTGCTACAACTATATGTACTATAATATAGCTGCAGCATGGCTCTGCCACGTATAAAATAATTGTAAAATTATACTTCTTTAGCGTAAACAAACAAAAGTAACTAAAAATGACTACCTTAAATATAGTTATCAGTCCCCACGCAAACTTGAGAGACAGTTACCCAATGAAGTAGTCGCTTTGAGGTGTCAGTGTGCGCGCGCATCGTAACAACATCATGGTGTCGTTTTTAGCTGCCAGTGTGCGCGCGCATCGTAACAACATCATGGTGTCGTTTTTAGCTGCCAGTGTGCGCGCGCATCGTATAAAATTCACTCTGATAATTTTTCCCGAACGCCCCAAAAGAAGTATAACTTCAAAATTTTGTACAACCGTCTTCAATATACCGAACGATTTTGATAAATTTTAAATGGAAAGTATTGGTACCTGGTGTCTTCGAGTAAGCGGGTGTACATACATAAAAAAATATTCCGAAGAATTGCAAACCTCTCCACCTTTTTGAAGTCGGTTGATAAATAATGCATTATGTATTATGCACAAGGATAACAATGTAATCAAAATATAAATTTAATTTTACGTGGTAGAGCCACGCTACAGCTATATTACGGTTGTAGAACGAATGCGTCGGCTGGACCGGACAAGAACCAGGCTCTCACATAATAGTAGCGTAAATATGTGTGTTCAGGGAACCGGGACCTTTTAACTGGAAATGACGCATTCGATCATAGTTCTCAGTTTCCGTTTATTTACTCGTGTGCCTCAGGTGTGACAACGCATCTGCATTTAGAGACTTAATTGAGGGTAGATGTAGATGTCTATAGGCCACATCCAGTAACCATCAGGTTGACTGTGTGCTGTGTGTTATTCTAAAAAAATAACCATCTTCAATAATGGATTATTCATATACGCCGGTTTTCGCACAAAACCCAATATTTCTGAGTAACTAAAAACAATTGTACGTACCCTTACGCTTCCAAGAACTAAGCCAGCTCCGATGGTGCCGCAGCCGGCTATGAAAAATGGGACGGCTACTTGCATCAACGTGTTCCACCATCTTTCCTCTTTTTTCTGGAAATAAAACATAAAGTTAGAATACGAGATTAGAAAAAGTTTAACGTTTTTTGTTTATTGCGGATCCCAAAAGAATTATTACAAATTGGGCTGCTTATTACTAGCCGACTTCAAATAGAGAAGATTTGCAATTGGATGTTTTTATGTATGTATTTCACGCGACATCTTCTTCAGTTGTAAACCGATGTTGATGATGATTTTTTTTAATAAAATAATAGCAAGCCGCTCCGGCTTCGCACCTGTGATTTCTGGATCTCGAAAACAGCGCCACCTATCGGGACCAATTTTGAATCATATGGATCATCCAACCATTTTCGAGATTTTGCGAAACATACAGGGTTATTTTGCAATAACCGGCCAAATTTGCAGAGAGGGTTCAGAATAAATAATATAGGCAAACGGTGAGGAAAATATAATTAAAAAAATCTCAATAATTCTATCCTTTTTATCTTTTAAATTTAAAATGCGTGGTAATGCATTATTTTAACTGATTTTACTGCGCACGCACACATTTTTCAAATGGTCGACCAGTAGACAAAACGTTGTTGCCCATAAATCACGTTCAATTTGGGATAATTTCAAATATAAGTAGAAGCCTTATTTACCTCCTCGTATTTTCAAAATCTGCATTAACGATATATCGTTATTAATATATTTGTAATTAAGTTTTGTACAGAAGATTTATATATATATATATTTTACATAAACGTCAATTGCTGTCCGTTAGTCGCGCAAAAACTCTAAAATAGCTAGACGAATTTTGATTATTTTTTTGGTGTGTATTTGAGTAGGTGGTTGGTTTAAAAACTCAATTGTACCCGATAGGTGGCGCTGTTGTCGAGATTCAGAAATCACCCGTGCAAAGCTGGGGCGGATCGCTAGTATTATATAAATATTGAGCCTTAGTAGCGTCCAACCCATGAAGCTAAAACCTAACTGAGATATTCCAAGAACAAAAGACTCCCACTATCTCAATGATATATTGATTCTATTTCTGTACGATTCCCACGGACTTTTACCCGCATTCAATTTCACGTTACACAAATATGGAAAAATAACATTTGATAATTAATAACATTGATGAATTTAGAAAATCGTATTTGATATTATTAAAGATTGGAAATATCACATGTGTACGAACAAAGGTAGCTTGTCTTGGGTGATCGCTGTAAACTACATGGTTCGCAAGCGACCTGAGTTTGATCCCGACGGATGCACAAACATTTTAAAAGCCAGAGAGAAGCGAGGACCATTGTGTCCGAGTAGGTCCTGTCATAGGAGTAGAGGTACAACGGATCGAGACTTGAACGATTGGCAAAACAAACTACAAGCGGTAACAGCAACGAAGAGCACGACAGCCGTTTGCATGCCGTTTGCCTTTCCGGAATCACACGATTCTTAGACTTCTTTTTTATCATCAGCCAGTTGAAATCCTTTGCTAGACATGTGTTTTTTTATAGAATAAGGGTGACAAACGAGCACACAGTCCACCTGATAGTAAATGGATATTGTGGCTTATGGATATCTATTTATCTTTGATTAAGAATCAAAATGCAGATGCGTCGTCACCCGTGAGGACTAAGATGGAATACATACCTCTTTTCCAGTAAAATGGGTGTCCGGTTCTCTATGCTTACCATACGAAACACAGCAGTGTCAAGCTGCCATTTAAGAATAAATGTAGATGTCTATGGGTCACAGCAACCACTTACCATCAGGTGGACTGTGTGCCCGTTTAGTCACCCTATCCTATAAAAAAAACAACCGCGTTCGGATAAAATTCTACGTAAAGTCTCAGCCATTTCCAGTTTACGAGTAGTATCCGGCTTTGATGCAAATAGCATGCTATTATAGTGTTCGTTAAAGATCTATATTAAGTATTTAAAGAAAAAAAAAAACATGTTACGTAATTAATGAACTAATCTCGCTAACCGGTCTTTGTTATAGAATGTAGCTTATGAAATTTTATTGCTTATTAAAACAATACTAGAGTGACGTGATAATTGATGCAAGGTGGACAATCGTGACTCAGGACTGTGCTTAGTGCTAGTCTCAGTTCCTTTTGCTTATATGGTCGTAGTATGCAATAGTTTGGTCGATAAATTAGTGTTACTTATGAGGTTGAAACCAATGGATGTTTTCTACTTCTTTTACACGCCTGCCTTCTCCTGCTCTTATCACAAGTTATTTGGCGTCGATATAGCATATCTTATTCTTCCATTCTTCTCTATTAGCATTAATCACTTCACGCATACCTTTCTCAAGCATATTATATGAACCTTAATACAGGCCATCAATCTTTTCTCAGGCCCCTCTCTACTTATATGTATTGATAAAGCCATGCTGCAGCTATATTAGTAGTATAGTTGTGGCACGAATGTGTTTCGTATGGTGAGTGTAGAGAACCGGAGACCCATTTTACTGGAAAAAGGTATTCCATCTTAGTCCTCACGGGTGACAACGCATCTGCATTTTGATTCGTAATCGAGGATAGATATATGTATGTATATATCTAAGAGCCACAGCAACCACTTACCATCAGGTGGACTGTGTACTCGTTCGTCACTTTTATCCTATAATTTTAAAAAATCCATTCATTTTCATAGCTGACATTCTTCTTGTTACATACTTTTCGCTTAATATGCCCATACCACGCTAGCCCACCACTTCTCAACTTTACCGTGACGTTCACTTTCAAACTGACTTTGTATTAGAAACAAACGGATTTTTGCATATATTTTAGAGTAAAATTATCAATTATAACTTCTTACGTGTATGTTTGAATATTATATTTGGAATCTATGTTAATTACATTGTTAAATTGGTTCAAAAATGTGATATTTGTAAGTTATTTTGATCACATAAATATTTTAATTGGACGGTTTGGTGGCGAAGTGGCAAGCGTTTGGCCGCTGTAGTTTGTACGATCTACAATATTTGTTCCCAGTTTGAATGTTCAATTTATGTATCTACGTTCAGTTTATACACTGGAGAAAGTTTTATCGTTTTTGAAACAAATAAAATCAACACGCATGCATAAATACCATCACGCCTTTTCCCTACAGATAATATGCACATATAGGCACTGCGTAAGTTTTTAACAGGTCATGTCCGTCATATGTAATTTGTTATGTAGCTCATTGTTATTGTCATTCCTTAGGTACTTAACATAAATAATCTAATAACATCTACATTACAATTACATTTTATGATTATTATGATTATATTGTACCGAATTAAATACTTGTGACGCCATCGGGACATTAACGTAAAGAAAGAGAAGAATATCAAACATTACCTATTATTGTGTCCATAAAGGTACGCCACAGGCCACGAGTAACGTACTGTTAAAATTAACAGTCTATATGCGATCTGTGCTGTTTGAGTATGTGTTGAATTAGTGTATATGTGTATATATAGTATGTATATAAAAAAACAATTCAAAAAATAATGAACCAATTTTAATATTTGGCTGATGTGGACCTCTTTGTACTAAATATGTATAAATAAAATAATAGAATAGATGTTGGGAGATATTAGTACATGTATAAGAAATTATACCTCAGATTATATGTATAAACATAAGTATGTAAGACGAGAACCACTGCCGACAAACTGTAATGTAGTTTGGCAGATGAAAATGTTAAAAACGTTTATTGTATAATTGGAAGAAAATAAATAAAAAAAAAAACAAAGTCGTGACATTAAGGGAGGACCTAATCAAATAATATGTGTTGATTGGTCGTTTAAATTAGCAAAAAAATTATTTAATTCAAGGTTCAGAATAAGTAATATAGGCGAACGGTGAAGAAAAATTAATTAAAAAATATTAAACATTCTGTCCTTTTTAGCTTTTAAATTCAGAATGGTAATAAGCTAATGAATTATTTAACCTGATTGTCATTCATATATATCTAACGTCTTCTATTTTACTACGCACGCACACATTCGTAAGGGTCACTCGGTCGATAAAAACGTTGTAAATTGAATCGCACACAGAGGAAAGCGAATATGCATTGTTGTTGGCCATACATCATATTCAATTTGGGATAATTTCAAACAGAAGTAGAAGCCTTATATACTCGTATTTTCAAAAACTGCAATAACGGTATATCATTATTTATATATTTGAAGTTAAATATGAAATATTGATACTCTTTAAAAATAACCCTGTATAGTTAAATCAATCTAATTTCGTCGCGACCCTGTCCCGCTTGCCGGTTTGCTCGCGGACATAAATCCTTATGTCCGGGACGGGGGTTTGTGAGGTTTGTTCTCATGGGCCCCGGGAGATTTTATATTTGCAGGGGCAGCTGTAGGCCGTAACACTTATAACTATTGTTATAATCATCATTTTAGTCTATCAAAAGTCCACGAACATATGCCTCCTTCATAGGTTGCCTCCTCACATGAGGAATGTTTGCCATAGTTGCTACACTTGGCAGGTGGGTTGGCAACTGCAGTTTCCTACTTTAAAGTTGTTTTATATACGCCGCTGCCCATCTCCTGGTTTTGATTCCCTCAGTCACCTCTTACGACACATATAAGATAATACGGGATAGTGGATATTCTTACACCGCCACTACACAGCTCTTTCAATAATAACTTTCAATAAAAAGAATTTTAAACAACTTTTCAATAATTATTAATGTTGTATTTTGGACTAAAACATTTTTATAATTATTACTAGCTGGCCAGGCAGATGTTGTTCTGCCCCTTCCGATGACCCTTCCTATGAAAAAATCTTTAAATTCGCCATAAAAAAATATTGAATGTCATTTATCCATGTTATATTATGTTAAAGTTTCTTTCTGTACTATTAGTTATATTTCATATTAGGTAATTAGATTAAACCAAACTACAGATATTCATAAAAGTAAAAAAAAGAATTAAAAATGTCCAAAAAAATTAAAGTGAGGCATTGTTTTGTGTATAAATATAATACTCTAGAAACTTTTATTTAAAAGTAACTTCTCAATCAAATGACATTTTTTAACAAAAAACTTAGCCCCCATTGACTCCACAGTTATTGAATTAGTAAATATTTTTTAAATATTTCCCTTCCTATTTGCCAGATATAGATAATTATTTTTAAATCGGATGATCAACAAATATAGGTATATGTCAAACGTGATTTATTATCGGAAATTTCCGTAAAAAGGCGATATTTTTATAGATTATACTAGCTATAATTAACACGATGTTATCTGTTAAATTTTATGCTATCTATAATTCCATCTTGATACGATAACAATTATATTTACGTAATTAAAAAAAAAACAAGTCGTGTGCTGTTGTCGTAGTATAATCCATATCCATCCCGTCCCCCCTATACGTATCTTAAATATTTATATTATAAGAGACGAATATGAAAAATGGCAGAAATATTAAACGCCAATGGTAATTAAATAATCAGAACAAAAGGAACCAGAGACCCAGCAACGAAGTAAGCCGTGTAAGGTGCTGTGGAAACCAGACGGTACCATCATTGCCAATCTACCTGTCAAGCGTACAAGATAACAGCAAATTCTCATTATAAATTATAATAGAGGCCCCACGCTACCAAAATAGTTTTCGTGTGCCGTTTATAATTATTCGACTAGCCGTTACTGATACTGAGACAGGTACAAAATGAAAATTTTATATGTTTACAATCTGACACGGCAGACGTTCTGTCAGATTAGTTTCATTCTGTCGTCTCGAACGACACATATGTAGCTCTGTCGGTAGCGCATAGGACTTTTCTGACACTAAAACAACATTCTATTGTAAAAAAAAGACTAATAAGCCATTTTGATCTATAAATATAAAATTTGTTAATAACTAGACTACAGCGACATCTAGTGTAGCTATGTACCATCGTCTTAACAAAACAAATATTTCATGAAGGTACACATTATTACTAACAGACACATCAAAGATTAAATAAAGATAACAACAATAAAGATTAACAGATAATGAAGAAACAAAGTATCATTATCTAATGATTGTGGACTACTATAGTAGATACATAGTTTGTATATATTAGATAGTCAAGCAATAGCTTAGAATAATCAAAAATAAACTACTAATAGTCGTAATTGATTTTAGGAACAAAAACTGTTTTAGGTTGAGTATTTAATTTACCAGAGGTTAATTTTCGATCTTTTAAAAGCTGTTTTTTTTAATGGACTACGTGATCGGTTAACAGTTGTCGCTAATCATCGCATATGAAGCCTGCAACTGTACGACAATAGGCGTTCCTGTCGCTCGCCCGCATCGTGAACTGAACTTACGGTAATGAATATACGTGAAATTTTAGTATTTTAGTAATGTCCTGCAGAACAAATTTCGGTCACGGTGGCCACTCTCAACAGATGACTATCTGCGTAGGAAAGGATTAAAGTGAACGAATATGAGCGCAAGCACAGCTGTCTTCACTATCACTTTACCCTCATAGTCCTATGGGTCGGCAATCCCAGATAACCGGAGACAAATCAGGTACAAGACCAAAGTCTTTGCGTGCTCTTCGAGGAATCAGATTTTTCGGATTTAAAAGAGGCATTCTATCTTAGTCCTCACGGCTGACAACGCATCTGCATTTTAATTCGCAAACGAAGATAGATGTAGATGTCTATGAGCCACAGCATCCACTTACCATCAGGTGGACTGTGTGCTCGTTTGTCACCCTAATTCTATAAAAACAAAATCGGGGTCAAAAAACAAACGCCGCCAAAATTCTAACTTTTTTTATAGGAAAGGGGACAAACGAGCATCTAACAGCAGTGGCTCACCTGATGGTAAGTGACTACCGCCGCTCATGAACAACTGCAACACCATGGGAATTGCAGATGCGTTGCTGGCCTTTTAATGAGTAGGCTCTTTTCTTGAAGGTCCCTAAGTCGTAACTCCTAGCTGCTACTAATAGCTGAGCATTTCTTGACATAAAAACACAATAATCGATTTTGGCTTGAAACGGGATTAGGACCACATGAACAGCACACCATCTCACTTACGACCACTAGACCAATGCTAGACAGTCAAGTGTTAATTAATGATTTGTGGTGCTTTTAGGTAATATTATTCCTTTCCGGCATCTGCCATATTTGTGTACGTAAATATAATCATAGAACAAATATGTACTCGGTATAAAATTACATACGCCTGACAGTGGTTGCTTCTCAGCATCGGCTTCTGCGGCCTTCTTGTCCGGAGGATCACCTAGACTTTTCAAATCGCCATTCGAGTTTATTGACGCCATATTGAAAGCGGTGTCTGGACAACCAATCTCATCTGGAACAAAAATACGTTAGTTGATAAAAAATATTTTTAAGCATTTTATTTTTATTTATATTATTCATTATATTATGCTTAGGAAGGAGTTTACAATAATTAAAACTTAGAGAGTATGTTTAGTAATAGGCTTTAGATAACTTCTCTTAAATGTCATCTTCAACTGTACGACACGCCACTTAATGAATGAGACTCGTAACCTTAAAATTCCAAAATTAAATTCTAATTCCCTAGCTAGAAACGGAGTGCATGATTAAAAATATCTTTAACCAAGACTAGATTAAGGATTAAAAAACTATATTATACTGGTACGTATAAAAGATTCGTAAAACACACGGAGTTCTTACTGCGCTCTCAAGATGGCAACACTTAGCCGCGTAGAGAACTTCCACATTTCCATAGAGTTTAAATCTTGATTTGTTAAAAGAACATTGTTACATGTGAAATACATTATTATTTCGGCACAAACTATTGACATAGACAACAATACTCTAATTTATAATAATAAAAAACACGTAAGTTCAATAAGTTTGGCTTTCTACGTCTAAGATATACCCAACAAGGTCATACTCGGCATGTGTTGTGGCGAAACTACAGCGCTGATTTTCAATAATAAAAAAAAAGTCTAAGGCCTTTTTGTTAATAGTAGTAATGACAAAAAGGCCTAAAAGAATACAGCTCCCAGAGTAAATAAAGTAGTAAAATTTTTACGATAAAAGAAAAAATCAAGTATTGTTTACTCAAAGTTCTATGCACCTAGTGTTTTTCTTTTATACGATAAGGGTGACAAGCGAGCACACAGTCCACCAAATGGTAAGTGATTGCTGCGGTCCATAGACATCTACATCTATTCTCTATTCCAAATCAATATGCAGATGCGTTGTCACCCGTGAGGACTAAGATAGAATGCCTCATTTCCAGTGAAAAGGTTCTCCGGTTCTCTACACTCACCATACGAAACACAGCAGCGTTAAGCTGCTATTTTACGCTGGTATTCTTCTGTGAGAGCGTGGTCCTTCTCCGATCGAGCGGACCCATTCCTGCTACAACTATACAACTAATATAGCTGCAGCATGGCTACGTACATAGCCACGTAAACAAATTAAGTATTAAACTCGTAATAATACTCGAGAGCAAACGTCTGAATAAACAAAGTATTTTTTATTTTATTTTAAACGTATCTTAATTTTATTATTTACACAGTTGAAAGTTTTATTGAATTCTTCGACGCTGTTTACCAGATAAATAACCTTTTACTGTTATTATGAACTCTAGCATGAAGGTCAAGGATCGTTCAAACTGTAGGGGATTCCAAACAAAAACAAAACGCGGGATATGGGTAATGATTTCGCGCAACGGTACTGGACTTAATAAAATTGCATTTAGCTCAGCTGATTTTTAAAACGTCAGTTATAAGCTACTACTAAACTAAGGTACTACTTACAAGAAATCAATTGAAGTGTTTTATTCATAAACCTGTATTTTATTTTCAATACGAGCAATGCTATTCACAGTACTAATATTCCTTGTTGTCACCACCTTCACCACCTCTGGTAAAATTTAAAAAGTAAATAGGTACATAATGTGTATTCGATGTTGTTAGTAAGTACTTAAAACTATTTTAGTATAATGTCTAATCTACCCAGCACGACTGACTTGGATGTTCAGCTATAATAACGTTACTTTTTCTACCGACTTCAAAAAGGAGACGGTATCCTATTATGATTTGCATTGCAGTTTCATAAGCTCTAATGCTAAAAATGCGTGTTAGGAGTGGTTCACGAAAGTAGTCGAATTGCGGATTCGAACCTATGAGCTTTTGAGTTCTCGCTCCGTATCCTGTCATTAGGCTACTGGCTATTTTTAATTTGATTATTAATATATTATTATCATTTGAATACATTTTATCTGATAATTGAATAATTTAAAATTAAAAATTTTGTACAGCCGACTTCAATATAAGTTATTAAGAATAACTCAAATAACTCAAAAACTATTAGTCTGACCTTGGTCAAATTCATATGGGACCACATGAGAAGTATCAGCTTTCATATAAAAAAAGAATCATCGAAATCGGTCCACCCAGTAAAAAGTTATGAGGTAACACACATAAAAAAAAACATACGCGTCGAATTCAGTACCGTCTCCTTTTTGGAAGACGGCAGAAAATGAGCCTTAATTGTCTCATAAATTAATTTTTTAGGTTTTTAGTCGTAAGTTAGCTAAATTTTACGAACTATTTGTTATGGATGGTTTTTTAATAAACTAGCGATTTGCCCCGGCTTTGCACGGGTGATTTATGGATCTCGACAACAGCACCACCTACTGGGTCCAAATGTGAATCTAAACCATCTAGGGGCCCATACAAACACATAAAAAATGTCCTCAAAATCGGTCGAGCAGTTTTTGAGTTTTAGCGAGACGAACGGGGAGCAATTGATTTATTTATATAGAGATTAGTGTATTGTTGTGTACGTCAATAGTTTGTGCCAAATTAAAGTGCTTTTTATTTCTTTAATGATAGGTTTGAAAGAGAATATTCTTTAAAATCTTCTTCAATTTACACGTATACTTAACATTAAATAATATAACTAATTTTACGGATTTTATCGCGTAACTTGTTTAATTTCTCTTTTCAACCCTCTACGTTTCGGGTTCTCTACACCTATGATCACGAAGGGACTGAGGTGTTTGACGTTCCGATGTCATAGTTAGCTCGACTACCTTCAGTTTTTGAATATTAATTTTTGTAAGTAAGCTCATTCTGCGTAGATCGGACAGTTTAAATTTCGCTGATTTAACGTCGTATTCTGAAAATGATATATCATTTGACGAACCTAAAATAAACAATACATAATTAGAATCACATAAACAAACACATCATATGCAAGGGTTTGGATTTAATTTTATTATTATAGGATCCCAAGCAGATGGTAGCATCCATCCACCATTTCTGTTGAAATTTGAATGTTTTTTAATTTCTATAGTCCTGCGAATCATCCTAAACGACAATCGTTATTCTTTTGCGAGGATTTGTGGTCTATCAAATCTAATGTAATGGCGGGGACGATCTTGAACATGTTCATACCACTGCAAGACTTCAATATCGCAGATATTAGCGTAAAATACATTAAACATAAGTATTACATTAATGAAAATTTACGAAAAACTACATTTTTCGGCTCTCGAAATTTCGTTGCGAAAAACACAAATGTTAAAGGAGACCTTCAAAATGTTTGAAGTCACAAAAATGTATTTAATTTCTCTTCTCAATAAAACTTTCCACATAGTTGAGAAATTTGTTCAGAACCTTCGAGACTTAGGCTTTGTACTTCAAGGTGAAAATGAAAACACTTTTTTTGTCGCAGACTGACGGCATAGACTAAAAAAATAAAGACATAGGTAGGTAAAGAATAATTATTTTCACAACAATTTTTATCTACAAATCAATAACTGTAATTGATAATTTATTATAATATATTGATAGGGTTATATTGCGATAGTGTTTTTTTTTATAGGATAAGAGTGACAAAGGCACAGTCCACCTAATGGTAAGTGGTTGTTGTGGCCCATGGACATCTACATTTTTCCTCGTTTGCGAACCAAAATGCAGATGCGTTGTCAGCCGTGAGGACTAAGATGGAATGCCTCTTTTCCAGTAAAAAGGCTCTCCGGTTCTCTACACTCACCATATGAAACACAGCAGCGTTAAGCTGCTATTTTACGCTGGTTTCTGTGAGAGCGTGGTCCTTCTCCGGTCGAGCCGACCCATTCGTGCTACAACTATACAATTAATATAGCTCCAGCATGGCTCTACCGCGTATAAATGTCACAGAAATACACTTAAATGACGTGTAATAGACCGAGCTGAGCTTGTGATTAATTCTATAACTTATACAACGTGAGTTTTGGCCGCCCGGAGTCTCTAGAGCCGAAAATATCCCCCCCCTCCCCAAATATTGTAACTAATAAAATAAAAAATCAGTAAAAGTCTTCTATACTATGTAAGTATATATTAGTAAAATTATTTTAATAATGTAGTTTTTTATATTATATTGTTATTGTTTATGAGAGGTAGTTTAATTATATTTTACGTGGTAGAGCCACGCTGCAGCTCTATTATGGTTATAGCACGAATGGGTCGGCTCGACCGGGGTAGGACTACGCTCTTACAGAATACCAACCGTAAAATAGCAGCTTAATACTGCTGTTTCGTATGGTAAGTGGAGAGAACTGGAGACCCTCTTTTACTGGAAACGAGGCGTTCCATCTCAGTCCTATGGGGTGACAAGGCATCTGCATTTTGATTCTTAATTAAGGATAAATGTGGTTGTCTATGGGCCACAGTATCCACTGACTATGAGGTTTACTGTGTGCTTGTTTCCCACCCCTATTCTATTAATAAAATTACGTGTCCTGAGACATTTCATCTTAGTCCTCAGGGATATCAACGTATCTGTGGTGCCCTTGTTTGATGTTGGTCGCAGCAAAATGGCTTGTAATACATATAGTCACTTTTCATCAGATGGACAATAACTTCGCTTGTTATCGTCACTTTAATTCAATAATTAAAAATTTTGTACAACCGATTTTAATATAAGTTACTAAAAATAACTCAAAAACTATTGGTCAGACCTTGATCACATTAATATGGGACTACATGTGAAGCACCAGCTTTAAAATGAGAAAAGAATCATCGAAATCGGTTCACCCAGTAAAAAGTTATGAGGTAACCACAGATTAAAAAAAAACATACAGTCGAATTGAATACCGTCTCGTTTTTGAATTCGGTAGAAAAAAATTAAAGTACTCTATGCCGTCGCCGTACGGGTTGACTTCAATGTCCCCGGTTTTTTAAAATTTTGCTATCACTTTTTCCACACGTTATCCCTCAAGAGCTGTTGAGTAACATATCATAGTCGTTCATGACCAAATACAAATTACCCCCAACGCTTAATTGCAGTCTTGCAATCGCCATGCAGTATAAGAAATATTTGCCG